CAAAAAAAAAATAAAAAATAAAAATAAAAATAAAGAAAAAAAGGCTAGTATATGGAAATTAAAAGTGTAAAGATCAAGAAACGGCGATTAAAATTTGACAATTTATAAACATTAATGGATCAGCAAACTTATGTCTCGGAGATTGGTTGTGTCACACACATTGTCGGGACACCAATGTGGGATAAAATTGATCTTTTAGGCATGCAGGGAAAACTTTGCTACATAATTTTATCTGGCCTACTAAATCTGGCCGAAATATGAATTTATTAGAAATTATGGTTGTGCTTTTAAACTAATTTGATAAAGAATAGTCTGACTACTATGTCGCAAACTAATTCACAAATATAGGATACAAAGATGTCACGTATCACCGATAAATATTGAATATTAATTCTATAATGATAACTATTAATTAACATGTACACTTTCAGTCATCTACACCTTTAAAAAAACTAGGTACCCAATATTCATTGGGATATGCTTGTTCATCTATCCAACAAAGGCCATCCGAAAGTAATGTATCCTATTGAAATATAATATTTTTGACAAAAATAGTAATGCAAATGAGGAAAAATAAACAAACTCAGAAATATAATACTTACTATAACATCATTTATGCGTTCTATTCCCCATCCCAATTCTGATTCTATTATATCTTTAGTGACATAACCTTTCGCCTATAAAACGACAATCGTGAATAATGCAATATACAGCTTGCCTAAAATGTTTTCACAATAATCATACCTGCGCCAAAGCCAATATTTCAGATTGATCTATGTTTAGTTCCCGTGGGACTGATCTTACCATTTTTCTATCACCAATTTGTAATATTTCAAATCCATTACCTAATGGTTTAAGGGTTTTAATAGAGCGTATGATATCATCACTAAACACAATATATGTTTAATGCTAAATGAGAATGTTACTTTTTATGGAAAAAAAAGACCATCTAAGCACTAGACTCACTCACTGATCTCTTGTGACGAATTGGATCCACTAATTCCACCACCACTATTACCTCCACGCATTTTTACCAATTGTCGTTTCAATTCATCTAATTCAATCAATCCCCCATTTCTACCTCGAGTAGATAAACAAATTTCGATAATCTGTACGCCAAGTTCATAATAAAAATCGCCTACTCCTAAAAATTCTGCCCAAAATCCTTTATTTGCTACATTCATACGTAAAATTATAATATATTAATATTTATTCACATGAAAAAATGAAGAATAAAACAAAAATATTACATGCAAGTGGATCAACCCCGATATTACTGCACATTTTCTGAAAATGTGCTCGAAACATAGGATTCTTACGAATGTCTTTACGATATTTGCGAGCAAACTCTTCCAGATTTGTTTTGAAAACTTGGAGTTGTTCCTTTAGCTATTAATTTATTAGAATCAGTTATTTGTGTGTACTATTGGATTTATTCTTTTAGAACTTATCTTTTACCTGCTGCATTTCTGTTTCCGCCTTATTGTTTCCAAACTCACGAAATTGATCCTATACAATGTAAAATCAATAAGATTCGATAATTCTAAATTATTAAAATAAAACACCTTACATTTGCCGCAATTTTCCTTTTTAAACCCGTAACCCCAAGACCTCTACGCATTGTTCTGTTGTTCTTATGTTACTGTTCAAAATTTTAAACGAAAGAGTTGGTAGTTATTTTATATCGATATTTAGTTATATGTGTTGTACACCTGACTAGATTTTCTTGCATGCATTAGTTACGATATATATTACATATTTTAATAAACATCTGTGCAACATAGTGGCCAAATATAATTATCGTAAAATTACGAATTTTTGATTCTTCAGAAAAAATGTCCTCATCCACTGCTCCAATTGTTCAACCAAAAAACCCTGAAGTTCCCAGGTATAAAGGTTTCGAGAATTACTTGAAGTTTATCTATACATGTAAATAATTCTTTGCTACTTAATAGATCAGTCATTTTTAAACTCTATGTACATACTTTATTGATGGTGGTTCTTCCAATTTCCACATACTTTTATACTTCCAAGTATTTTTTTGAAGGTAAATTACTGATTTATCTATTTTTGTTCTAGTTCATTGAAATTTACTTTTTTTTTTTGTTTTTTAGGAGATTATGGTACTACGAAAGCTGCGTTATCTGCTGCTGGCATCGCAAATGTGGTTGTATTTTCTTTCATAATCACTGCTTTCATGGAAGACTCTGGTGATAAACATCAAAAGCGAGACAAAGAAGATTAAACTGCCCCCAGGATCGTGATTGCGTGGCTCAAGCCAATCATTAAAATAAATAATACATTTATTACTAAGAATATTTTTATTTAAAAAAAGAGTATTGCTAATTTTCACCGGTGGAAAGGGTCATTGGGGTGCTATATCTCAAAAACTACTAGCTAACGCACCTCAGGGATGCTAATTAAAAATGTTCAGAACCCCTAAAACTTATGCTAACTAAAATTGGGGTCCTAATATCTAATTCTAAGCTTCGTCTAAAATTACATCCTAACCTAAATTTTAATAATAATTAAGGGGAGGGAATTCTCCCGGTTAAATGTAGTTATTTTCTTAAAGAAATTGTTATTATTATCTTTTATTTTTGCTAATGTTATTTTTTTTTATATAATCTAATTGGTCTTAAGCTTTTTAATTTTAATTATTTGATTGGTTATATTATAAAAAGGATGTGATATTAGCAAAAAATAACAGCATTTGATATTTTTTGTGTATTGATAATCTTACTAGTATACATAAAGTCAGGATGTTTTGGTAAAACCATCGAAAATTCTTTTGCTATTTTATTTAAAACTGATATAATTATTGTTGATTTGTTTTTAAAATAATATTATTTAATTATGTTAGATCGTTGAATCTTATATAATTAAAACAAAGTATAGTTAAACCCCTCTATAGTTGCATCTTTGGGATACAAAAACTGTAATTATAAAGAGATATAACTAATATAGAGGTATTTTTTATATAGTTATAAATAATTGATAAAAATAAATTTGTATTAATTTTATAACTATGGAAAAGATAACTATAAAGAAGGTTGATTATAAAAAAAATAAAAAAACCAAAAAATTAATAATTTAATACTTTAATTAGTAATTTGTTAATCAACCAAAGAGTTAGTATAATGTGATACAGATTATATATAGAATTAGAAATTTTTAAATATGATATGCTTATATTCAAAATTTTTTTCATACGTACTAAGTTAATTGGTGATTCGCCACTCAACCAGAGAGAGCTTATAGTGTAATGTGACGCGGTTTACATATAAAAATTAGGGTTTTTTGAATGTGAGCTGCTTCTATTTTAAACTTTTTTTCGTACTAAGTTAACCACCTTTGGGCTTCTAATTGAAGTTGTAGAGCTCGTTGAGACAAATCTAATGGTGATTGAAACATCAAAATCGGCCTTGTGGATCACGAGATATCTTCGAAAAACGTTTCGCCGACTATGTAAACTTCTCTTTCATCAATAGTATTGTTGAAAGAGAAGTTTACATAGTCGGCAAAACGTTTTTCGAAGATATCTTGTGATCCACAAGGCCGATTTTGATGATCCGACCACCATTAAATTCATCTCAACAAGCTTTACAATTTCAATTAGAAGCCCAAAGGTGGTTAACTTAGTACAAAAAAAAATTAGATAGAAACAGCTTACATTCAGAAAACCCTAATTTCTATATGTAAACTGTCATATTACACTATAAGCTCTCTCTGGTTGAGTGGCAAATCACCAATTAATCTTGTAGAGCTTATCAAGATAAATTTAATTGTAGTTAAATCATCAAAATTGGCCTGGTAGATTGTGAGACATTTTTGAAAAAGTTTGTTAACTATATATAAACAATATTATTGTTTAAAACAAAGCAGAAAATATTTAGTTTTCATAATAGTAGATAATCATTTAGATTATATAAGAATTCTGTTTATCTAGTTTTATAATACTAATTAGTTATAATATATACAAAATATTTTTCTTGACAAAAAAAAATACAAAATTCTGAAAACAAAAATTAATAAGAAACTATAAAAATACAAAAGAGTTACTAAAAAACTAAACTTGGAGCTTTAAGTAAAAAGAAAGAGAACAATAAAAAACACTCTGTTTTTTAAAAAACTTGAGTAAAAAAAGCAAAGGTGGCAAAAAATTGTAAAAAATTATCAATATTTACTTGCACTTTGCGAATTTTTAGGAAATCAGCCTTGACTCTGAATCAGATTTGTTTTTTTTTTAATATCAAAGTGACCTTATGGTCAGTTGTCTTTATTAGTTTATATGCTAAACTAATCGAGTCAGCTGCTATTCATTTGGTATATGGTTTTGGAGAGTACAACTAGCTATATGTATAATTTTTAATTGCCTATTTAAGTAGTCCGCCCAAAGGTTTTACACTAGATGTCATACCTATAATCCAACCAGAGGATTATCTATTTAAACCCTCTTGTGCTGCCATATCCTTATGAGGAACCAATACACAATATTAGTTTGGGGTTTTTGGAACAGAATAGATCTAACTATTTTTAGAAAGCCTTCTAAGAGTTTCTAGAAACCCAATTTGTTTATTTTTAAATAAGTCTAACGGTTTGTTCCAAACTGTTAGATTTATTTTGTATCACTAGAAAGGTTTCTATCAGCTCTAGAAGCTTTATTTTAATATTTAGAAATAAGTCTAACAAAAATAAGTCTAACGGTTCTTATTACCACATAAATAAATTTAATGAAAAATAAGTCTAATGGTTTTGTCCCAAAATTCCAAACTTATTATATACATATCTAGAAGAGTTTCTATCAGCTCTAGAAGCTTTATTTTAATATTTAGAAATAAGTCTAACAAAAATAAGTTTAACGGTCCTTATTATCTCATAAATAAGTCTAATGAAAAATAAGTCTAACGGTTTTGTTCCAAAACCTCAAACTTATTGTGTACATATCTAGAAGAGCTTTTAAGAGCTTAGAAGTATTATTTTAATAAGTCTAATGAAAATAAGTCTAACGATTCTTATTACCTTATAAATAAGTCTAACAATTTATAAATATATCAGAAATATATTCTGGGGCTCTCAAAAGCCTTGAAATTATATCGATTTTTTTTAGTTATATTTATTAATGATTTTAGATTCGTTAGATTTATTTATAAATATTTCTAACTATTTAAGAATTGCTTCTAAAAAAAATCTATGTGTTAATTAGCATATTATGTAT